ACCATTAATTCAAAATAACTGGTAATTTTTATGAGAAGAAAAGTATGGAATATGTTTTGTATTTTTCTCTCCTTTCACAAAAAAACAATATAATTACTCCCCCAAGTTGTTTGATATTACAGCGAATGTAGATATATTAACAAAATGGGGCGAAAACAATGAATCACTTTCGAAAACAAAAATAGATATAATTAGTAACATAGGAAATGTGTACATTAACATCAAACGCAAAAACTGGAATAAACCCTCTCTTTATTCCAGTGGAGATTATCCAGCCTTTAGATTTCAAGTCGATATTGTTCAACCTGGTCTGAAACATGAAAACACTCAAAAATCAATATCTTGATTGAGCGTAATAAACGGCCACACATTCATATAACAGTTTAATTTTGAGACTCGAACTTGGAAGAAGTTGGTTCTAAGCCGTATTTCATCCTATTTCTGAAGTATAAGAGCCCTATGTTACGGTAGCAGTTAAAAATTACATGTTAGAGCTTCATAGTAAGATGTATAAGAAAATACGATAAAAACAAACACGAAAGCCCTGATAGAATACTTTTACATTTATATTACTTCTGGAGCTTTCACATGTCATTAATCAGTTAGGTTGTTGTTTCTGTTACTTAGTAGTACGTTGACATTTCATGTTGTCTATCAAGATTACTTAACACTTATTTAATCAATATACGTTGATACATTTTGAAACACCGTTTTTATAACATACAAATTGCCAAAAAGAGATTCCTATATGTGTATAGTCGAGATATCTCTGTTCTACAGATCACACATTGAGATATCTCTGTTCTACAGATCAAACATTGAGATATCTCTGTTCTACAGATCACACATTGAGATATCTCTGTTCTACAGATCAAACATTGAAAACACATTGAGATATCTCTGTTCTACAGATCACACATTGAGATATCTCTGTTCTACAGATCACACATTGAGATATCTCTGTTCTACAGATCACACAATGAGATATCTCTGTTCTACAGATCAAACATTGAGATATCTCTCAGAGATATATCAATGTTTGATCTGTAGAACTTCTACAGATCAAACATTGAGATATCTCTGTTCTACAAATCAAACATTGAGATATCTCTGTTCTACAGATCACACATTCTCCCTCTACTAAATTATTTTCAAATTCGACAGTTTCGACACCCAAAATACAGGACCATGAGAATAAATGAATAAAAACCTAAACAAAGTGATATTTTCACACACATATACACACACACACATTTTTATATGTGATGTGTGTGTGTATATATATATATATATATATGTTTACAGTATGTATATATTTTTTGTGTATTCAGCATAAATATATTTATTTATGTATTCAGTTCTGTACGCTAATGTTTAATATTTACTAAAAGTTTACGTGTTTGCACATTTGCTATAAAGAAGGTGGTTTTAAGAAAACTATTGTATTAAATATATTGATAGTTTTGGGTTTGTGGCATCTAAAATGCTGTTTGAGTCTATAGTTTTGTACTTTAATTTCCTTTCACAGCATATGAAAAAATATTTGTTGGGGAAGGTTTTACAGATAGGACTATCAGATATGACACTCCTATTTCACCTTTAACTCTATCATGACTTATAATGTTGATAACGAGGAACCCACATTTTAGAAAATAAACGTTTTCAGACGGCTTGACTGGGTAATGAAATAACTTTGTCATGAATGTACGACGTTTCGACAAGATTTTGTCACCCAGAGTATGAAAAAATCTTGTCGAAACGTCGTAATAAAGTTTTTTTTATTACCCATTCATGCCGTCTCAAAACTTTTATAATACAATGTACTCATATACAATGGTATCAGCCATGATTGCTAACCGCTATACTCTTAATAGTAAATCCATTCATTCCATTAGGCTAGTTAAGCCTTGAATGTTATATAATGGTGCTGTAATATCCGAGACAAATATAGTTTTTCCTTGGCTAAAGCCAGAATAATAGCTTTCCAAAAAGTTCTGATGCCAATCTGTCTTTTATGTTTTCAAGAATGTGTTACTATGATTGTATGAGTGATTTGATTTTAACCAAAAGAAAAAAAAATTAATTCTGAAATTCATTCAATAGTTTAAAAACGGAACATATCTGAACCTTATTTTATCGTATTTGTAATGCTGAAAATTATAGTTTATGTTGTGTGTTACACACAACATAGTTTGCGTACATGAATTATAATGTTAAACTAAATGCTCAACTCCCGAAATTTCTTTAGTCGCCTTGAATATTAATAAACCGTTTGACAATATTTAACGTTTTTTGCTCAATCCACCTTTCCTTTCTGCGGACACAGTAAATTATTTTCAAGTTGCTAATTATATATCGTAAAATTTCAAAATAATTTCTTAAGCAGCATTAGACTTCTATTGTTAATAAAGTTTCCAGTCAACATTGGGTTTAAAAATGGGTATAAAGAGCTTTAAAGTTTTTGCTTGTTGCCTCACTTAATCAATCTTTAGGTTTCGTATTAATGCCTTAAACTTACAGTTTCCCTTAATGAATAAAACTTGTATTATGCCGTTTTTTTTCTTGACAAATATTATCACCCAAACTAGATTTACCCTGAATCGTGTCCGTTCAGTCAATATCACTGCCACTGTCATATGATTAGTCATATGTCTGAATTGCTCTTATAGAATTTGATTTAATTTAAAATGTTGAGTCTGTGTTGTTGTTTCTTAAATCAAAATGGCTACCACCAGCGTTTGTATACGGCTCTTTATAATAATAGGTGTTCACCATCTACTCCAAATGTTGACCGATCTCTTCAATCTTACAAAGAAAGCAGGTTAAACATTTTAAACAATGGAATCCGACCAAAAGTCAACAATCACCTCTTATTTTGACATCATTACGTACGATCAAAGAGAGCTCGTGAACTGTGAATAATCGACAGGAAATAACTAAAAGTCGAACGAAAGTGATATGAAACTTCCTAGAGTAAGCGAGTTAATCTGTTGGAGTTTTCTAAAGAAGAAAATCTGTCTATTTATCTATCTGTCTTAATCATGTTTACTTAAAAGGATTACCAGAACGTGTAGAACGTTTCACACAAACCCGAGAACTGTGGCCCTAGGTAATTTTAACTAACCTTGGAAGGTTCATTACGGAAATAAATATGTTTTTATGTTATCGCAAATGAAAACTATTTACAGTATTTTCTATATATCTTGGATGATGCGGTAAGCCAATTTATCTGCTTCTTATAAAAAGTGGCAACTAAGCATACTCACCGGTTAAATTTGGGCAGCTAAGCATACTCGCCGGTTAAATTTGGGCAGCTAAGCATACTCACCGATTAAATTTGGGCAGCTAAGCATACTCGCCGGTTAAATTTGGGCAGCTAAGCATACTCGCCGGTTAAATTTGGGCAGCTAAGCATACTCACCGGTTAAATTTGGGCAGCTAGCATACTCGCCGGAGAACAAAATATCTATTTAGAAATACAATTTTACGATCTTAAAGATTATGTTGAGCTTGCAAAGTGTTACAAGTGATACCTAGACTTCTATTTATGTATATTACACTGACTCTTAACCCTAACATTACGTTCAAACCAACAATCGTGCAACAAAAACAATAGCAAATGTTTAACTGTTAACCATGCAACATTCTTCATAAAAGATGATGCATTACATTCTAGAAATTAATGTGACCAATACATAAATACACGTGTGACGGCTAAGTATTATCCCATTCTCTAAAACAAGAAATATCTTAACATTGCACTTGATAAAAAAAAAGGGTATTTTTTATTTTCTCACAGTTTCACAAACTTTTGTTGTTTTTAATGTTTTGTATTTAAAATAGCACCATAGATTACGCCAGTATTTTCTGGACTTGTAAACATATTTTATAATGAATATCAATGTTAGCATTAAAATTCCAGCTCGTGATTATAGGTTTACAATGAAACTACCATTTAATATCTATAATAGATATAATAAATAGCTTAGAGCATAAATATTATAACTGTAAAGAAGTTTTTAAGTGTATGAATCCTACCGATTTGTGCTATTCTCCTAACCACTAAATGTCGTGCGTACTATGTAGTAGTTCTCTTAAAGGTCTATTTTCAACTGATCGTTAAGAGAAACAGATAAAACTTCCAATGAGAACGTACAGTTGGTATCAATCTCTAAATATGTAATCTAACTGTTTGTAAGATAATAAATAGAGATAGGCTCAGGTTCAGATAATAATCGTATGGTTCGTACGTACAGTTGGTATCAATCTCTAAATATGTAATCTAACTGTTTGTAAGATAATAAACAGAGATAGGCTCAGGTTCAGATAATAATCGTATGGTTCGTGAGCAATAAGAAGAAAATCTAGTTACATTATTATCAAACGTTCCACAACTTAGAATGGCTGCAATGTCCTTTCTGTATTCAAGACGTCTCTAGATATAGTGTTAAGAGAGGAGTGTATAGTTCGCGAAATGGAAATATTGATTCCGACATGGTAAGGTTTGCAACTGGAGACATACATTTCGATAAATACGAGTTATTATACGACACGTAACCTTACAGTGGCACCATTTCTTCCAAGTGCCGAGGATTCCATGAATATGAATGTACCTAACTGCCAAATTATCCTGCTAGGTATGTATTAGCAAGTTGTTGTTTTTTTGTCAAACATACGGTGCTGAGGATGATAGTTAACAAGAAAAATAACCGTATCAGCTACCGACGTCTCCTCTGAAGCATTAACTGATACTTTCAGTTAGCTTTTCAGCTCAGAGAGATGTTCTTCTTGATTATTAACGTCGATTCTATTACGATATAAAACTGCTTTTTTGTTGACGTCATGTATTATATAGAAGAGATTACTGTTATATTAATAAAATGGTGAAACGTAGGTTCAACAATGGAAACATTATATATATATATATATATATATACTGTTATATTGACTAAACAGAAATGCATGCAACTTGTGACAGAAAAACTGAAAGCTTTCCTCACCTGTGATCCAGCCAGAACTTGCTGGAATCTACTTCTGAGGATCAAAGTATGGACTAGATCTGGCGTGATGAGACAAATGTCGCTCTTACTTGTAGTGTAAAAAAAGAGTCGCAAGAAGAATTCTACCTTGGTTTCGCCAGAACTAGTTCAGATACAGCTGTTTCTCAGCTTGTATGGCCACTATATAACACAGCGTCTGCTTTAGATCTGTCGGTATTGCCTACTGAAGTTCTAAAGGAAGGCGTTGCAAGGTAGTGTCACATCGATGTTCGCGTCCTGTGCCATACTACAGAGGCTACTGATGTGCAAAGCATGATGGGAGAGTTGGTTCTCGACGACTACCTTCCGGGGAGGAGGTTATCGATCCGCATGGCTAGGGCAGTTCATATTTTCGGATTACACTATCCAGGTGTCGCTTTAGTCCACTGCTACTTGCAGACTGTTGCCAAGGCAGAATTGAGTAGATTAGAATTTAGCTGAGGTAAAATTTACATTTTAAGACCGCATTTTGTTTCTTTCGTATAGATTTCTTAAAAGAAATAAGTCTTCCTAAACTTTTACTAATAAAAGTTAAAATATTAATTTGTAATACGTGGTGAAAAACTATTATCAGACATTGATTGTTTGTTTTATGTTACCTTACACGCAATTTACTAAAATGTTTTTTTTTTAAAGCAAAAGAGGAAAAACGTATAACTTGATGTAGAAAAACATATTTTATTACTTGATATTCAACAGCTCGTTTGAGTTTTCTCCTACAATTTACGTTTTCATATTCAAATGCAGTAAACAGTATACTGTGCTGGTGCACTCTGTAATAGAATGTGTTATTCGAGCGTTTCGAATTGCATATTTTAATAGACTCACTGCACGAATGATAAGTAAGGAAAATAAATATATATCTGAAAGAACAACCCTTCTGTTGAACATTTAAGCCAGCTATTGGTACTCTGACATATCAAACCCGTTGTGCTAAGTTTAACATTTGAAGTAATAGTGTTAGACTCGATGCAGCCTTAGAGCAGCCCTGCCTAAAATGCATGAGCTGAAAAACAAAAACAGTGTTCAAGCTGATTTGATCACGTGAGTAAATTTTATGCGTGTTCTTGGCTTTTATTTCCTGGGTTAAAACAAGCAAGTACGAAGCATTTAAGTGACTTGTTACAATTTCTATTATATAACAACTAATTAGAGCGTTTACTTCTTGTAAAACAAAATAATGAGAATACAGTTACTTATATCGATAAACAAAAGAAAAGAACGAGCTAAAACTTCAAGTTCCTGTGGTTGTTGTTTTAGTAGACTCTATGTGATAAATATTAATATCTGATATTAATATATATGTACGGTTCATTGTAACTGTCCATTTTTAACCTTTTGACCGTGATGTGCAACTGAAGTATTTGAATTTCCTTATAACATACAGAAAAAACGTGAAAGGCAAAACATACCCTGCGTAATGTGTTCCTCTTACCACTTAGTGGTCATGCAGTAAAGTAAGCTAACCATTTAGTGCAGTATGTACGTATGTATAAAACGAAAATTTGGTTAGGACGTTTTTAATACATAGTTTCTTCTTAATTAACAACATATATCTGGCTGATGATATTAATATAACATTTGATTACACCAGAATGGTTTGAAAAGTGTTGCGCACAAAATTTCTTTAAACGTTATCGATGGGTAAACTTACTTCAATTATAACTTCAGCTCTTGCAACCACGCAGGGAAAAAAAACCGCCTCTTATTGGGTTAGTGAAGCAGTAAAGTTGGGTAGAAAGACGCTTTTGTTAGCCTTGTCGTGTTTCAGTGAACTTTTTCCACACTCAGCATGTACAAATTGAAGCTGATCCAACATTGATGCTCGAGTTATCTCGAAGAGGACCCCCATATCCACATTAATGGAGTATCCACGCCTGAATAAGTTTGTTACGGTCTAACGTAACGTTCTAACAGTATCTATTCAAAGTTATTTTTAAAGAAAAATATATTCACTGAGATTGTATGAAACTTACTGCTGTGATGTATAATTTCATAGTCTTAGTTTGATTAGGATCCGAAAAAAAAAAAATTACTAGAAACGTGTATAGGACGTGCAATATCTAAACAATTAGAAAGCTTTATGATAAGAATTATGGAACTATGTGCTGGACGTGTGATAAACCCGAACAGCCAGAAACTTTACGATAAGAATTACTTACCTCTTTACATATATTCATATACTAGACAGATCATACTGTCTTTAATATACAAATACTACATCAATGACAACACGTTTTCATATTAATCATGCAGATGAAGAATACTTTAATGAATCGATTTTTCTCGATTGAATACAGCAGACATAACTATGTTATATGGAGACACAGAAGAAGATATTTCACGAGCAAAGCTCACAGTGAAAACAATAACGTCTTTAATAAACATTATATATTTCTATTAAATTACTGTTTACTTCCCAATGAACAGTAATGATAGTGAGTTTGCTAATACCTTGGCAGTACTACCTTAAAATAAATAGTATAGGGCACTAGCATCGTGAATTGTTTGTTTTTGCATTTCGCGCAAAGCTACACGAGGGCTATCTGCCCTAGCCGTCCCTAATTTATCAGTGTAAGACTAGAGGGAAGGCAGCTAGTCATCGCCATCCACCGCCAATTCTTGAGCTACTCTTTTACCAACGAATAGTGGGATTGCTCGTAACATTATAACGCCCCCACGGCTAAGAGGGCGAGCATGTTTGGTGTGACGGGAATTTGAACTCGTGACCCTCAGATTAAGACTGAGAAAGTTAATTACGTTTCTTCAGAATTCATCTCTTGTAAATAACTGAAGTAAAGCTAAAGTATCTTACTATATCATCAAGTTATATCTTCCGTTTATCCGTCGATATTAATAAATGCAATATTACCACGATTTATAATACAATTTGGGCATCTGAATAATGTATAAATAAAATTGTTAATTTAAAACATAAATAAAATAATTAAGCCTAAATTAATCTGTTCTAAAGAAAACATTCCAGATGGATGCAAAAAAGAATGCCCTCCCCTCAGTGACAAATCTGATGGTTTATAACGCTAAAAAACCGAGTATCAATACCTACGGTGGGCACAACACAGATAGCTCATGATGTAGCTTTGCGCTTAACAACAAACAAACAAAGCGAAACAGAAATCCGTTGCTTCATTTATATGATAAAGTATTATTTACGAATCTGATTGCTTTTGAAGCTAATTATGCAAATTCAATAAAAAAGTATAGCGACAGAGTTACCATAGATTTAAATATAATTTAATAGTAGTTGAATTATGAAAGTTTTCCCCGGATCATGATCGAATCCTACATAAACAAGTATAGCGACAGAGTTACCATAGTTTTAAATATAATTTAATAGTAGTTGAATTATGAAAGTTTTCCCCGGATCATGATCGAATCCTACATAAACAAGTACAGCGACTGAGTTACCATAGTTTTGAAATATAATTTAATAGTAGTTGAATTATGAAAGTTTTTCCCCGGATCATGATCGAATCCCACATAAACAAGTATAGCGACAGAGTTACCATAGTTTTAAATATAATTTAATAGTAGTTGAGTTATGAAAGTTTTCCCCGGATCATGATCGAATCCTATATCAAAGGGGAAAATATCGATTATTTTTTTTCTACAACTTAGTTTTTTTTCATATATGTTCAATAATTTTTATTTTTCAATTATTTGCCGCCACCCCTTTTTGAAACTAATCTTTAATATCAAGATAAAACATCACTGTGATTAACGGGGTTTCTAGCCTGCATACCAATTAATAATAGTAGAAGGACACCTTTGCAAAGAAAAAAACATTTCCAATACTTTATTGTCAGAACTATGTTTAACAATTCGTTAGTTTCCACATTAAATCATACAGTCTAACAGTTTACTGTCTTTTGGATTATAAGTGATATTATAGTTAATGAAGGGCAAACAATGCGTTTGTTTACTGTATTATATTAAACACTTTAAACTTGAAATCTTAATTATGCTACACCTCCGAGTGTACAAACTTTATAATATCAAAAACTGGAAATTTGATTTTAAACTTAAACGATCACCTTATGCGCATGTGGACTAAACGACCAGGTCTCCTAGACCATCTAGTGATTGAGATATCGCCTTTTCTAATTTTGAACATTGGTCAGAGAAGGACAGTCAGTCAGAAGCTTTGTCCGGTACTTTGAAATGAATGAAGGGAATGACTGTCACTTTTATAATGCAATTCATCCATAGCAGAAAGTACGTAATGTATTTAATGTCATCAAGCCTTGAACTTTGGATTTCTCGATTCGAAACCAGACAAACTAACCAGCAAAGACATGCTTGGCAGAGAATCAAAAATAGCTAAATTTGTAATTATGTTTATGTATAAAGTATTTAATATTTTTATAACAAAAGTTTAAATTACGATATTTGATCAATACAGTTTAAAACACAAACTCAAATTAAGAATTTGCCTTATTCCTAATCACACGATGTAGAATTTGTTGAGTTATGATCATAAACTTCATATTAGCTTTACTGTTATTTTGGAACTTCAACTACTTTATATTATACTTGTGTGTGTTTGGTAATTTTCAACAGTTTTTTGACAACAGATTTAAACATGCATAGAAGTGTAACACCCTTTTCAAATGAAAATTAATACAAATGATCACAAAATAATCAGATCTGATGGTAATACGAATCATACTTTCTCAAATTGGATAACACCTACTTGTTAAGAAGTGCAGTTTTAAGGCCTAAGAAGTGCAATTTTAAGGCTAAGAAGTGCAGTTTTAAGGACTAAGAAGTGCAGTTTTAAGTAATAAGACGTGCAGTTTTAAGTAATAAGACGTGCAGTTTTAAGTAATAAGACGTGCAGTTTTAAGAACTACGACGTACAGTTTTAAGGTTTGAGAAGTGCAGTTTTAAAGACTAAAACTAAGACGTACAGTTTTAAGGACTAAGACGTACAGTTTTAAGGACTAAGACGTACAGTTTTAAGGACTAAGACTTATAGTTTTAAGGACTAAGAAGTGCAATTTTAAGGACTAAGACGTACAGTTTTAAGGACTAAGACTTATAGTTTTAAGGACTAAGAAGTGCAATTCTAAGGACTAAGACGTACAGTTTTAAGGACTATTAGCTTCCATCATGTCAGTGAGGTTGGTTAATGAAAATATTATTCATCTATAAATACACACACATAATTTCAGACCAAAAGTGCAATAAAAACGATTGAATTCAGCAGTTAGATAAGTATTTGGATTTTCTTTGCCTGGAGGTCTTATAA